AGGAACCCATATGGGCTCCTGGAGAAGCTAAATTTACTTATAATAAAAAACCCTTCAGAGACCTCTGAAGCAAGACCAGCCATAATTTTTCATACAACTGCTTTTATTCTTACCATCTTCTTCCGTCTTGACAACAACAGCATCAGATCGAGGTCCGTCGCCTTTTACCGTAAAACCACTGACCTGAATTCGATAGTTAGTGAATTTCAGAAGACCCTGTATCAGGGCCGAGGTGCGACCAATTTCAGTTGTGTGAACACCCCTACTGACGTCACCAAATCCCTTGGGATCCGTGTTGATGTAGTGTATATGATATCCCATGAGAATTCCGTGGATAAACTGCCGCGGAATTGGAGACCATCCTACGTATATAGCTGTGCTACTTCTGTTGCTGGCTGTAACATCCAGTGGTGCCATACTCGGTGCTGTAATTAAAAGAACATGTAAAGGAGTCATTGAAAGTTGAACATGCAAAACTTCTTCCGTTTTGATTAAATAAAATTTTCACTGGCAACAACATCACTTAAATATCTTGCTTTTGCCATGACTTTTAGGGATTGGTTTTATTTCGAGTTTTTACGAAAAAACAATGATATCAAACCAAACGCCTTAAGGCTGTTTTTCACTAACGACAGAGTCGGAGTCGGAGTCGTAAGCGGAGTCGTAAGAACGCTTATGACCTAGTGAAAATCAAAAATCGGAGTCGTAAGCGGAGCCAAAAGCGCCACGGAATCGGAGTCAGAAGAATCAGAACGTTTCCATTTCTTCCGACTCCGCTTACGACTCCGTCGCTTACGTTCTGCTTATGAGCTATGAGCTAGTGAAAACCAGATTGTCGGAGTCGGAAGTAGAAGTGGAAGGATAAACCAATCACAATGCTTGTTCCCACGCTTTGTGATTGGTTTAATTCTTCCGCTTCTGCTTCCGACTCCGGCAATTTGGTTTTCACTAGATCATAAGCAGAACGTAAGCGACGGAGTCGTAAGCGGAATAAGAACGCTGTTTTCACTAGATCATAAGCTCTACGCTTCTGATTACGACTCCGACTCCGTCGCTAGTGAAAACCAACCTTTAAGCATCACCCTGCAGATAGAGCCTCCTTTTGTCTTTTTCTTAGTCGAGGAGGAGAAAGGAAGACTCTGCATTAATCGCGTTAAGCCCTTGACTAGTCAATCTTGTTTTCTCTCGTCAAACTGGTTTTCGACTGCGAGCACCCATTTATTGATAGAACTAAGGTCATAACAAGCCCGCTGTACCAAGCGTACGGCTATTAGGCCTGGGTTCGAAACTGTATCTTAGCAACGTGCAGGGCATGCTCATTGTGGGTTTGATGCAGAGTCTTTCACAATAACTCCAAAACCGAGTGTGTGAATGAGGGATTTTGCTCCTAGGATTCTTAGGCGTCGCATATGATACACAATTTACACATGTACCCATTTTTGAGACCAATTTTCAGTTGCTTACTATCTTCGTCTGTGCTTGCCGCTATGGGAAAGCTATCCACTCCGACTCCTCTATAATTAATTCCCGCCATTCTGAAATGATACATGGTAAACTTTTTTAATCCAGTCATGTGAGCATAATAAGACCCATTATAATCCAGGCTAAACAAACCAGGCGACCACAAGGTGACTTCGGAATCCTATCACCATAGCTGATGGGGAAAAGATACCAGCGTCATGTAAACAGACCTTATTCACGAAATCCGTGATCTTTTCGAATCTTTGCACGCGCTTTAAGGAGTGATTAGTCTGCTACACAGCCGTTTTTAGTGTCGTCACGCAACGCTCCTCCCCACAAGGAGCGTTGCGTGACGACACTAACAACGGCTGTGTAGCAGACTAAGGAGTGTTGGGATAAAATCAATGTTATGTGGTTTCTCAAGGGGCAAACAAGGGAAAAAATTTGCCCATGCAAGAAATCGCGGTCGAGTTTGTTTATTTTGGACAACAGAAAATGAGAAGTTTTCATGTTAAAGATGATAATGGCAAATATTAATGAGTGGAAGTGATCATTGTTACTTAATTCTTTAGATGCAGTAGCGACCGCGGACGTCCTTACAGCAAACAACAATGACTTAAATATTGACGAAACTCGAACTATACATTTTGCGTGACTATTTAAAAATGGTCGTCTCGTTGTGATAGAACAAGCAAACTCGACCGCGATTTCTCATGTTGGCAAATTAAATCACTTGTTTGCCGCCTGAAAGGCTGAAATACCACGTGATATTGCTTTTATTCAATCGACACTAAACGGCATCCAGAGATGGCGGGTATCGTGAATAAGGTCTATCAAAGAGAGGAAGCTCCTCCAAGGAACGAAAAAAAGGAGTGACAATGGGAATGAGGTTGTTCCCCCAAACTCCTTCCCAGGGTTCTGTCCTACTCGTCCTTGCGGTAGCGAGTGAAAGATAACCCTGGGAACGAGGCTGTTTGCTCCTCGTGTTTAATTATTAGCAGATTACTTGGTGTGTGAAGAGACTTTCCGTGCAGAGAAAATCAGAATTGTCTTTGAAACATCTAAACCACAAATTGTATGGTGACAATTTTTGTTTTGAAAAAATTTTTCCGCACTGGAAATTATTGACTCTTATCGGGCCGTTACATCTGACACCACTTGCATTTGGTAATGGAAAGAACAATGGCTTTACAACCAATGATTGACAAGAAAAACACGGTGTGTCGTGTTAGGAAGCATGAAGAAAAAGGCTATTCAGCATGTCTTGCTTTGCCTTGAACGAAATCAGAGATTGGCTGCCTTCCGTTCAACTAAGCAAGTTTTTGAAGCATGGCACACAAACACTTACAAACGCTTTTAGCTTTAAAATGTCTTTCCCTAACTTAAAGACCAACTTTCGCATGACCTTGAAATATGGTTTTGGTAAGTGTTCGTTATTTGTTTTATCAGCCAATGGATGAAAAGATCAAAACATGGACTCTTCGTTTTCCCGCCAAAGAAAACCCTAATATGGGGAAGGCATTGTTCGATTGGCCAATCGTGTTGCAGTATTACGTCAAAGCGACGTATAGGATGATTCCTAGAAAGTTATCAGGCATGACGTTTTTTCACCCGGGCGTTCGCTTAACCAACCAAAAGCCACGCGCGTTTGTATCCCTTCGATAAACCAATCAAATCGCTCTATGTCCGTTCGTTTGTTGTTTCTGTTTTGTTCGCGCTTTTTCATTTCAAGGTCATGGGAAAATAGCTCTAACTTGAGGCATGCTGGGTTATCTTCTTCCCTAAGTGGTTTATTTCACAAGTCCTCACCCCAGAGTAGTCATCGAAGCAAAAGCCCACCACATTGCCTCCCAGCTGCCTTGCATGACATTTCGAGGAAAATGACGATCGTTTCCAGCGGTTTCCTAAGAAAGTTTGACATAAACAACAGTTAATAAGAGGGAATAAGGAGTTCTTGGGACTTTGAAAAAACGAAAGGAAGCATAAAGGCTCGCATCGCCTTTTTGTTTTTTTTTTTAATGCAGATAATCATATCCTGTGACGGCTATTTTCATATTAGTAATGGAGTATACATTGGATATTCCGTGTCAGACGGATAATTCGCCTAAATGTAAAACGGGACAGTGTTAATTTTTGAACGAATAATCCGTCCTATTTTATCCGTCGTTTTAACAAACTTTTTTGGAAGGGTCATCCGTCCCTAGTGTGAAAACGGCCATTAAGGAAATTCCTCTAAAATAGAACCTGCAGTGGTATTTTTGTCAAACTTTACCGATTGGTCAGGTCTGGTTTGAAGCTAGCCGCTCGGGCTGGAGTCACGCAACACTCCCCGCCCGGGGATCATTGCGTGACTCCCGTCCGAGCGGCTGCAAAGGCACAAAAAGAGACAAAAATGACACGTTCTCCAACAGGCCTGAAGCATATTACTGTTACGACTTACCACAAACCACAAGACTAAACTTGAAACCCATAACATCGCTATTGACAGAAAGAGAATGGGAAAGCATAACGCCAGTGACTTCAGTAGGAGAGTAGCAGCCGTTCCTTTCTCGTCTCCAATGATAATCAGAGCCAGCCCAGGCGACTGCACAAACGGGACAAAACCGTAACTATCCAAATACCTAGTCTGGTCCATGAACCCGTAGACTGGGAAATGAAGCTCTGTTGTCTCGTCAAAACTGCTCTTGAACTGGACAAGCCCGGATTTCCTCGAGGGATGTCCCGTGGCTGTGCGGGTAAAATCCACACGAGAGATCCCGTGCTCGGTGCAGTTCCCGCAGCAAGTATACACGGCTTGTTTAAGGATAGGTGTTATGATCCCGCTCTTGTTTGACCGCGGGCTGTCCACGTATGGCGGGTTGATCCACCAATTTGTAAAAATGGTACTGTAACAGTTGCAAGTATCTTGTGAAAAAAAAAGAAAGAAGCCACAGTTTACATCATTCAAGCGACAATAATTTGCCGTCCTTGGTTTGACCTTGTCCTATAAGTGTCGTTGACTTTTTATTGCATCATCCAAACTTGCTCTTTTTAAACAAGTGGAGAAGACGCAAAACAAGCCTTACTTGACTGACACTCTCCCGCCTTTCATCGCTTGATAGTTTTTGTCTTTTTACCGCGCCTGACACCAAAATCGATTACACTTTTTTCGTTGCCTAGCAACAAGATGAAAGTTTTCCCCGCGCTTTGCAACAGGTTCTCGCCGCTTGACACCACCATTGATTACACTTTTTCCGTGCTCGGCACCAACAATGATTCTAATTTTTCCGTAATTGGCGTAAATTTTCACCCTTTGCAGTAGCATATTTTTGCTTTGAGTTCTGTTCAGCTCTCCCGATTCGTTTCCGTAACTGCTTATCAGTTTATTCGCGCCTTATTGCTGGTCTCACGGCGGCCATGTTAGTGGTCAAGAACAAAAGCATTTCTCTCCTCTAGGAACTAAACTCCATTTTCATGTAAATTTTTGGGGAAAAAATTCTGTTGTAGTGACTCCCAACATAGCCGCCTGGTCAGGTGGTTGCAAACCAAGAATTCTTCTTTTAATCATCTGAATTACCTGCCCTTATGGGATTACTCTTCACACCATCCCCTTTGACTGTAAACGCCAAGACTCGAACCTCATATCTCGTGAAAGCAGTCAAATTCTTCAGAACAGCAATCAGTGTTGACGGCCCGACTGTCACTTCATAAGTTTCCAGTTCCTCGAGTTTTTCGTTCGCGATAGCAATTGCACCGTAAAGCACTTTGTAACCACGCAGTATTCCATGAACGTAAAATTTATCGGGAATTGGGTTCCATTGGACTGTTATTTGAGTTGGGCTCGTCTTGTTTAATGCTCGAACCTTGATCGGCGACTGACTTGGGGCTATATAAAAAAAAAAGAAAAACAAATTATAACATTTAAGCCCAAATTAATTTCCCGTCGGGGTTCGCAGACATTTGAGTTCTTCAAATTCCATGACTTTCAATTCACCATTTGCACACCTTCCATGATACACCTTGTTTGCCCCCCAAACTTTTGTATAACCTTTGCTATTCATTTCTCCTGAATATAACAGTCGTCTCGACAGAAATTAAAAACATTTCCTATGCAAAATTGTGGGGGGGTGGGGGGACCAAGATGTGCAAATGGCCAATGACTTTTTCCCTTTTTCCACAAAATTTTCTTTCTGTCACTTTTGAAACTATTCAAAACGTTTTGGTGATTTTTCACCAAACCGGTTCTAACTCGGTTCAACAGAGCCAAACTCTAGTGTCCACAAAAACGCCTGCCGTTCGCGCCCTTTAATTGCTTGTCTTTATGTCTTACTTTGTCCTTGCTTTGACATCTGCAGTAACTACTACACAAACATAAGGTAAATTTCTCTTCATTTTCCAGGCCTGGAAATTGAACTTCTTAAATTTCATGACTTTCCAGGTTTGCCATTAACCATTCGAACCTTGCGAGTTTATTAAAAAAACTTTATTTTCAAAAATTAAGTGAACTTACTGTAGTCATCAGTAGAAACGATTATTTCTTTACTAATTGCTCCCTCTCCAACAGCCGTGAAACCAAGAATTTGGATTTTGTACTTGGTATAAATCCATAGATTCCTCAGATGAACAGAACGTTCGTTGGTGCTGAGTTGTTTTGTTTCATATGTGTCACGTGATTCATTATACCGCCAAAAGAGAACTCTGTAGCCCAATAGCACGCCATGGATAAAGTCACCTGGTATTTCGTCCCATTGTACAAAGAGGCTGGTGTGGCTTGTGTTGCGGCCTTTCACTAAGATAACGGGTTCGCTGGGTACTGAAAGTCAGTAATATGAAATAAGATTAACAACAACAACAACAATAATAATAATGATAATAATAATAATCATAACTATAAAAAAATTGTCAAATCTGATTGGCTCTCAACTGCCCTGATTTCAGCCTTAATTGGACAGTTTAATAGGACAGTACGCGTTATGCCTAAGTAATTGGACAGTACGCGCCATCACGCGCGCGCTTAAATGGCTTTTTTTTTCACTGCTAGCAAAACAAAATTTCGAATTTCTTGTGTTTTGATTAAAAAAATAGCCTATTATATCACAAATTTTGTTAAAGTTATGATTAATTGGTAACAGAACTTCGTGTCGTCCAATTCGGTCTGTAATCATACTCGTGATTAAACAAATCGATTTTGTTAATCACTCGTATGATTACAGGCCGAATTGGACTCCACTCTGTCCTGTTACCATTACTAATAATAATAATAATTACATAATATTTTAGCATGGAGCCCACAACCATTTATGAGGATATCCACTTATCCTTAAAATCCACCTATGAGGATATGGAAGTTTTTAGGTAAGTGGTCAAAGTTATGTCCGCGTCGGTTTTTACCTATGCGTTTCTACGTTTTATGAACGGCTGAAAGGCGTTGCGCCAGTAAAAAGCCAACTCTGGCGTGCTTGCGTAACATTTTTCTGCATGTTGGTGACTGCCATATGAATTTGTTTTAAGTAATGGTTGACTTTTTAGCTTGCTTGCGTCTGTAGTTATTAGTAGTGTAGTAGGGAACAAATTAAACCCTTAGGTAGATTCTACACCCCGAACACTGACATACAATACAAAAAGAATACAGTATAGCATCGTCACGGTTCATTTATTTTCAGTGAGGGTGTGACATACAAGTTTGCACGCGGGAGCACGCACTAAATTAGTATAAACCATGACGTCATGAACGTTAATGTATCTCAAATCAATGACACTACTCTAAATTTTCTTCTAGGACAAAGTAGTCAGGCTAATGATGTCGTCTAGCAAAATAGGTTAATTCGATCCCTTGTACACTAATGCCGTCTGTGATCGTCTACGACACTAGATGACAGCAAGATACTACGTGCGTGGTCATAAAATGGAAAAAACCTGACAAAAAGTGAATGGCTGCATTTCGTTAAATATTTGCTTGACGTAAGTGGATAACAGTTTTTCTACAACAGTTAGCATCAATGCGATGCATTTGATGCATCACTTGACTTATCAACTTCACTAATTTCATTCTGATCATCCTTTACTACCGATAGCATCGTAACAATAAATCACGTGACTCACCATCTTCGCTAGTTCTAATCTCAAGAGGTCGTGGAGTTTGAGGTCCCAGTCCTTTACTGGTGAACCCGGCCACCTTAATTACGTACCAAGTGTATTTCTTTAGGTTATCAAGAGTCGTGGACTCTCTGGTGCTATTCACAGTCATACTGAACATTGACTGAGACGATTTTTTGGGAGCGTAGGAAATTTTGTATCCCAAGAGAATGCCGTTTCTGTATTGCTGAGGAATGTGTCGCCATTCCACAAACAGAGAGGTAGAGCTCTGGTTGAAGCCAGTAACGTTGGTTGGGAATGCTTCTGGTACTGCAACAATCATAGATAGATATAGCAAAGATAACGTCACGCCATATGAACAGTAGGTCACGGGTCACGAAAGTGCACGATTAAGTCAGGATGCAAACTCAAAGTCGTGACAACTTCCTTAGAATCTTTGCCATTTTTTACCGCTTTTTATCTTTGAAACTGTGAGAAATGCTGTTGTCCTACAGATTTTGCTAAAATTTAAAAGACTATCGGAAGACCGAACCGAGTAATTCAGAATTAAGAAAAGAACTGAAGATTGATCCAGACTTTTTCTTAGCTTTCCATTTTCGAGAGGTATACGCCTTTAAAAAGTGACCTTAAAGGATTTGTTACTACGAATATCAGGTGACCATTCACGTGATCTAATATTAAAATCTAAAAAAAAGGGATCATTGCGAAGGGGAAAATTGTAATGAGTTCAATTCTCACGTCAAATTTTAACCCGCACCATACCTTCACTTTGCTTGCCTCTGTCTAGCGGTTATTGAAAGTTTCAGAAAGAATTAGAAAAGAAATTTAAAATAATCTTACTATCTTCATCAGTAGTAATAGCCACAGTTTTGCTCTCAATTCCACTGCCTTTGCTAGTAAATCCTTCAACTGTCACCATATACTTTGTAAACTTGCGCAAATTGGTAACAACCACAGAAGCCGCAGACTGATTGACAGTTATTGTACTCCACCGTCGGTTGACTCGACTGTCCGTTGCTATGAAAGAAACATTGTAACCGAGAAGAATGCCGTGCGCGTAACGAGAAGGGATTGGACTCCATCTCACTTTGATGCTTGTTGACGTCATGTTGTTGCCTGTGACGTTAGCTGGCGGGCGACTAGGAACTAAAATCGGATAAACAATTCTTCATTATAAGGTATCAAAGACAGCCATTTTTAAAAATGCATCATTGTATTAGGCCAACCGGTGTGCCTTTTTGTGGGTTCTCGTTCTTTTTGGTTACTCTGGAAAGTTTCTCTCCTATTTCTCCTCTCCTTAGGAGCGAACACTTCCAAATTCCAATTCGATCTGGAACTTTGAAAAACTGTTTTCCTAACAAGTTCTCGAAAACCACAATTGCAGTCCGTCTTAATCTTCTTCATGTTTATCCCCCCGTGCCCCATTTTGCATTTGTTGCATTATTTGTACCTTATTTTCATGTTTTGAGCAGTTATTTTTATATTTCACTAACTTTCGTGGAAGTAACCACAGGATAAATATTGATGAATTCCGCAACATAAATCCTTTTACTGGTCAGAGCAGCCAGTAGCCCATATGGAATCCTGGAGCAGCTAAATTTACTTAAGAGACATCTCTGCCGCAAGACCAGCTATAATTTTTCATACAACTGCTTTTATTCTTACCATCTTCTTCCGTTTTGACAACAACAACATCAGATCGAGGACCGTCTCCTTTTACCGTAAAACCGCTGACCTGAATTCGATAGTTCGTGAATTTCAGAAGACCCTGTATCAGAGCCGAGGTGCGACCAGTTTCAGTTGTGTGAACACCCCTACTGACGTCACCAAATCCCTCGGGATCCGTGTTGATGTAGTGTACATGATATCCCATGAGAATTCCGTGGGCAAACTGCCGCGGAATTGGAGACCATCCTACGTAAATAGTTGTACTACTTCTGTTGCTGGCTATAACATCCAGTGGTGCCATACTCGGTGCTGTAAGTAAAAGAACATGTAAAAAATTCATTTTTTATTCTCTCTTGAAAGTTGAACATGCAAAACTTCTTCCGTTTTGATTTAATAAAATTTTCAGTGGCAACAACATCACTTAAATATCTTGTTTGTACCATGATTTTCAGTGATTGGTTTTATTTCGAGTTTTTACGAAAAAACAATGATATCAAACCAAACACCTTAAGGCTGGTTTTCACTAGTGACAGAGTCGGATTCGAAGTCGTAAGCGGATTCGTAAGAGCGCTTATGGTCTAGTGAAAATCAGAAGTCGGAGTCGTAAGCGGAGTCCCTAAGCGCGGCAGAATCGGAGTCCGAAGAATCAGAACGTTTCTATTTCTTCCGTCTCCGCTCACGACTCCGTCGCTTACGTTCCGCTTATGAGCTAGAGAAAACCATAATGTCCGAGTCGGAAGCAGAAGTGGAAGGATAAACCAATCACAATGCACGTTCCCACGCTTTGTGATTTGTTTAGTTCTTCTGCTTCTGCTTCCGACTCCGACAATTTGGTTTTCACTAGATCATAAGCAGAACGTAAGCGACAGAGTCGTAAGCAGAATCAGAACGCTGTTTTCACTAGATAATAAGCTCTACGCTTCTGATTACCATTCCAACTCCGTCGCTAGTGAAAACCAACCTTCAGGCATCCCCCTGCAGATAGAGCCTCCTTTTGTCTCCTTCTTAGTCAACGAGGAGAAAAGAAGACTCTGCCTTAATCGCGTTAAGCCCTTGACTAGTCAATCTTGTTTTCCCTCGTCAAACTGGTTTTTCTGAGTGCGAGCACCCGTTTATTGATAGAACTAAGGTCATAACGAGCCCGCTGTACCAAGCGCACGACTATTAGGCCTGGGGTCGAAACTGTATCTTAGCAACATGGAGCGCATGCTCATCGTGGGTTTCACGCAGAGTCTTTCACAATAACTTCAAAACCGAGTGTGTGAAAGAGGGATTTTGCTCGTGGGGTTCTTAGGCATCGCATATGATACACAATTTACACATGTACCCATTTACGAGACCAATTTTCAGTTGCTTACTATCTTCGTCTGTGCTTGCCGCTATGGGAAAGCTATCCACTCCGACTCCTCTATAATTAATTCCCGCCATTCTGAAATGATACATGGTAAACTTTTTTAATCCAGTCACGTGAGCTGAAAGATTTTCTCCCTTGATCACTTCCATCCACTCGTGGCTGTCATTGTCCCTGAAGGATATTCTGTATTCGAGAATGGGACCGTTGGAGTAGTTTAATGGGATAGGCAACCAGTTTAGGACAATTCCTGTGGAGCTTGTATTTACCGCTGTTATACTGACTGGAGCCATCACTGGGACTAAAATTACAAAACAACACTAAGTAGTTTCATTGAAATATTAAGCTCACTAGTTTTATAAGCGATAATAGCCAGAGATAGTTCTAATTATTGAGGGAAATGTGTTGTGTCAGAGTGTTTTTCAACTGCGTGTTGTAAAACTAGAACCGACTAACTTAGGCTAGAGAAGGAAATCAAATTACCCAATCAGAACTATAAGCAAATACGTGTAACTGGCCCCAAGCGCGGGGAAAACTACAACCACGTTAATAACCTTGACCAATCACAACACGAGCTGATAAAAATGACCCAATCAGAACTGAAATTCGGCGCAGTGCTTGGGAAACCGACGACCAGAGGTATAATTTTGACCAATCACAACCCGAGCTGACAGAAAATAAATCAATCAGAACTGGAAGCGAATACGTGCAAGGGTGATGTTACACGAGACGATTCGCAACGACGATTTTTAGCGCAACACAGCGTTGCAATATTATTGCAACATTGTTTCGAATGGTTACAACATTGTTCCAGCATTGCAACGCTGTGTTGCGCTTAAAATCGTTGTTGCGAATCGTCCCGTGTAACATCACCTTAACTGGCGCCAAGTGCAGAGAAGGAAATCAAATTATCCCATCAGGGGCCCGTTTCTCGAAAGACTCGGAAACTTTTCGGACACGAAGGCAAATTTTAAAATAAAACCCTGTTAAATAGACTTACCATCTGGTGACGTAAATCTCATAGGAGAGACTGGCATGTCATTTATTCTTCCGTCCCGGTAAATGACGTCTTGAAGTGGAGTGATGCCTTCGTATGAAAGATGAAGAAGACTGACAGAAAACTCCGCAATGACGCTTCCCTTTCTTCAAAGAAAAATCAAATCGAAATTAATAGTCTTTGTTTTCGAGGTTAGACTCCTACGTTCTTGTTTCACTCTGGCAGTCTGTTGCTTATGTGACACAGAAACAACCGACACTTCATATTGCAGCCCCCTATAAAGGATGCCTGTTCACCAAGCGAAGCAACAAGCATTTTCTCGTCAGTTTTATTTGCACGTGTCAATAAATACGACTGGATAGAGAGATGGACTCTGTCTTTGCTAAGGAAATAATACAACGACGGAAACAACCTATTGCGATACTTGCTAACTATCCTTTGGTTACTATATAAATTTCCTAGATTTTCTTTCTTCTTCTTTTTTTAATTTTTGAGATATAAAATAGGAACTGGTAAAACTGGATTTGCTTCTAGAAGGAAAGAGCCAGAGATCCTGTAGCTGGCAGGCCCAAAAGCACCTCAGACTAAGGCACTGTTACTCGTACATCAGTGTCATGTGCTCTCGTTCACGTGAAAAGAGAGAAAATGGCAACTTACGTGAATGAGAAATTTGTCACTTCAGAAACATCCTTTTCTCCCATTATTTCTTTAACCTGTGGGATTAACAAAGCAACAGGTTGTTTGACAACTGAACAAAGAGAAAATTGAGGTGAAAAAAGTAGAAGAAATTAATTTTTTTATTACGGATAAAAATGTTAATATTTTTTTAACTTGGCTTAATTGTACCCGTTTTGTTGGGGTGTAAATAAGGCATAAGAGTAATGTAACAAATTATCCCTCCACACCCACCTCTGAAATACACTACCAAGTAAGTACCCCTCCTTGACTATTATTTGACAGGTTGTTGTAATGTTGAGTAATATGAAGAAATGCACGCTTATGAGATTCATGGCTTTTATGGTACACATAAGAAAATATCCTCTTGTAAACGCAAGCAACGGAGAAGAGAAGTGATGACGTCGCAAAAAATTAAATTTGTGAAACTATGGGAGAGGTTGGCTTTGCACTAACGGACTAACTTTTGGCAAAGGGGCTTTTTTCATCATGTTTTTTCTGAATATGCCTACCATACCCATAATTTCACAAATTTGAATTTTTGTGACGCCACACTTCTCTAGGAGAGGTTGGCTTTGCACTAACGGACTAACTTTTGGCAAAGGGGCTTTTTTCATCATGTTTTTTCTGAATATGCCTACCATAACCATAATTTCACAAATTTGAATTTTTGTGACGCCACACTTCTCTAGTCTATCCTGTTTAACACGACGTCATATGGAAACTACAAATCATTGTGTGTAATACAAAGTACATTGTGCATTTCTGGACATAGGTGTCGTGTTCACACTAAGGCCAGGGTACCACTAACATACTAACATGCAACTCTAAATATACCAAAAGACGTAACATACTCCAAACTTGATTTTGAGGATAAGCAGATTTGCCCGGTTATTTCTGTCATTTGTTAATCCGTCCTCCCATTTTTCTGATGTCAGGTTCACAGCTAAGTTAAAAACGATATCTGAAAAAAAAAACAGAGTTAAAAACGATATCTAAGATGTAAAGAAACAAACAGATTGCAAGTTGTCTTCTATATACAAGGTCATTCTGAGTACGACACGGATAAAAAATCGAGTTCTCCCAACAGGAGTCGAACCTAATACCGCGGTTGCTGTAAAATGAGCTAACCGTCCGCTTCTTTTTGTTGATCTAATGAGTACTGTTACCAGTTACCGACGTAAAATAAGGACCTTCACCATTTACCTTTACCCATGCGTTCATAGACCTTGAGGGTGGGTCCGACCTCTGTCCGACCAGGAATCAAACCCAGGCCTATAGTTCGGAGGACTGATACTGAATCAATTTAGCTGACTCAGTCAGCGATTGAAATGTTAGTCAAGCTTAAGGGGTGCAAATAGCAAGGTAGTCTATTTGAGGCAAAATAAAGAGTAGTATCTCAAACCTGGACATTTCTCAGTATTGCATGCGAAGGAATCAATGCTTGGACCCAGTCCGCTACAATTTCGTCCTCCATGGGCCGGTGGTGGACTGGTGCAGCTTCGTCTTCTAATGTGCTTGCCTCCGCCGCACGTACGAGTGCACGGCTCGAATCCAGTCCACTCGGTGTAACCGCCATGAACAGGACACGGGAACGTGTTGCAACTCTGTATTTCCGATGCCGGGCCCAGCCTTTCGCAATCGCGTCCACCATATTTGGGTTTGGGATTGAAGCACGTTCGCCATCGTTTTTGTCTTCCACCATTGCACGATCTTGTGCACGCAGAGAATTCAGACCACTCCGTGTACCCACCGTCAATAGGACACTCTCTTAGAAAGCATTCCCTCGCATCGATGGCCAAACCAAAAGCTGAACAATTTCGGCCGCCAAATTGCGGTGCTGGATTTGTGCAGTTTCTTCTGCGATACTTTTTTCCTCTCCCACAACTCCTAGAACATAAACCAAATTCAGACCAACTTGTGTAGCCGCCATCTATGGGGCAGGGATGTAAATTGCATGTTTTAACATCAAGAGATGGTCCTTGTAAAGAACAATTCTTACCCCCGTGTCGGGGCGCAGGATTTGTGCAGTTTCTAATTCTATACTTAGTACCATTACCACAAGACCGTGTGCATGATGTAAAGTTTCCCCATACCGTGTAACCTCCATCGACAGGGCAGGGAAAAACGTTACACTGCTGAACATCTATAAGAGGACCTAATAAAGAACAATTTTTACCACCATGTTTTGGAAAAGGATTTGAACAATTTCGAGTTCTTGATCTGGTACCATTTCCGCAACTTTTACTGCAAACACTGAAGAATGACCAAGAGGAAAAATTACCATGGATAGCACATGGAAATATATTACAACTTTTAATTTCTTTCGATGGACCAAAAAACAAGCAATTTCTGCCACCATGTTTAGGCTCAGGATTTGTGCAAGTTCGCTTTCTAACCATTGTTCCGTTACCACAACTTTTACTACAATGACTAAAATTGGACCACGCTGAGTAGCTGCCATTGATTGGACAAGGGAACGTGTTACATTCTTTTATTTCCTCCGCAGGTCCTAAAAATGAACAATTCCTTCCTCCAGGTCCAGGAGGAGGCTCAGAACAATTTCGTGTTCTTTTCATTGTGCCATTCGCGCATGACTTGCTGCAAAAGTTGAACGCTGACCACTGAGTATAGCCGCCATCAATTGGACATTGAAACACATTACACACTTCAAAGTCAATAAAAAGACCAGTGCAATAATCTCCTCCATGCTTTGGTTCCGGATTAGTGCAATGTCTTGTTCTGTTTTTTAACCCCACTCCACAGCTCCTCGTGCACTCACCGAAGTTTGACCAATCGGAGAATCCGCCATGCACAGGGCAGTTCCGGAGAAAACACCTTTGCACTTCCACAGACACACCAAGATGCGAACAATTACTTCCTCCATATCGAGGTTTTGGATTGGAGCAGCTACGCGTCCTTTTTATTTCTCCTATCCCACATGATTTTGAACACTCGCTGAATTCTGTCCATGGTGTATAACCGCCATCTATTGGACAATGATGTGTATTGCAGTGTTGTATTTCAGTGTCTGATCCCAAACTAAAACAATTCCTTCCACCGTGTTTTGGTTCAGGGTTTGAACAATTTCTAGTTCTATTTTGTGAGCCATTTCCACAGGATTTAGTACACTCGCTATATTGACTCCATTCGCTATAGCCACCATGAATGGGGCAAAAATTGGTGTTGCAAGCTTTAACTTCAATATTTGGTCCTAAATGTGAACAATTTTGCCCTCCGTACATGGGCTTTGGATTGGAACAGTTTCTAATCCTCTGTCTTGTTCCACTGCCACAGGACATTGTACATTTAGAAAAGTCTGTCCACTGTGTATAACCACCATCTATTGGACAATGATGTGTATTGCAATTTATTATTTCTGTATGTGATCCCAAACTTAAACAATCCCTTCCACCGTGTTTTGGTTCAGGATTTGAACAATTTCTAGTTCTAATTTGCGAGCCATTTCCACAGGATTTCGTACAATCACTATAATTACTCCAATCGCTATAGCCACCATGAATGGGGCATAAATTCGTGCTGCAAATTTCAATTTCAATATTTGGTCCTAAATGTGAACAATTTTGCCCTCCGTAAATGGGCTTTGGATTGGAACAATTTCTGGTCCTCTGTCTTGTTCCACTGCCACAAGACACTGTACATAAAGAAAACTCTGTCCATGTGCTATAACCTCCATTTATAGGACAAGGTTTCTCGCTACAATTTTTTACTTCCATTGATAATCCTAAATGAGAGCAATTACTTCCTCCGTGTTGAGGCTCGGGATTCGAGCATTTTCGGGACCGTCTCTTGATGCCCGTCCCGCAAGATTTGCTACAGTTACTAAAAGAAGACCATTCTGAATAACCTCCGTGAATAGGGCACCTTCTTAGAAAACAAAACTGGAATTCTTCAGCGGCCCCAAGAGAAGAACAGTTTCTACCACGATTTTTCGGTGGGGGACTGGTGCAAGTCCGTGTACGTTTCATTGCACCGTTGCCACAGGTGACTGAGCATGCGCTGAACTCGGACCATTCGCTGTAGTTGCCACTCACTAAAACAAAAGACATTTAATTTCATACATGATTTTTACTGTAATCCCTTAACATTAGGTTGAATATTTCTAAATAAAATTCCACCAATTCCTTTTCTTATTTGTTCACATTTACGACTAGGACGTAATAAACAATTAGTTGACCTCATTTCTAGCCAAATAACAACAACACTCCAGTTATAAGGCATGACTCGGCTTCTTAAAGCACGGTCGAAAACTCGTAACCAGTCAATCCGGCTATTTACTAATAAACGAATACAATCAGACAAGTTTCATGCAGAGCAATGTTGAGCTTTGCTTATATGGGTCTCGCCCTGTTGTGGATACAAGCGGTCAAGAGCGCATGCGTAGTAGCGAGGTTTGCGTATCAGCTCTCGCGTCAGGAGATACCCCGGCCCCTGCTCCTACTGTATTTCTGAGCAAATTAACTTTCACAGTAGAACTAATCTAATTATTTAAGTAAGGTAAACACTGAAAGTCACCCTTCGTTTAATGTAGGTAAAAAATGTACACGACATACCATTTCGCTCTATGTATTGTTATGTGTCTTGTAGTGCAGAATTTTCAACAAAAGAGAAGAAACAGGAAAGCATCTCGCCTGCACACTTAAACCGTCTTAGAACACACGCTCAGAAGAATACCTCATCTAGAATACCTTATCTAGAACTTTCGCTTTAAACAGCTTGCAGCAATAATAATAGTAAAATAATAATAATAATAATAATAATAATAATAATAATTATAATGGAGTATCTGTTGTGATTCAACTTTATCCCTGATTTAAATTATATTTACCCTTGTTCTTTGATATCGCAAAGTATGATAATGAGTTAAGGCAAATGAAATTAAAATTTAAACCAAGCATAACATTGAACCGCAACATACACACAAAACAGCGAAGCTGATAAATGAGTAATTAACCGCGCCTGCCAAAGTAATGCAAAAGACAACTACAACAACTACCTCACCGAGAAGAAATATTTAAAAAATGAGAAAAATAAATTGAAAAATAAAAACTGATGCTCCAAAATCGTAAAAATAGTTAGCACAACCCCTGATGAATCAATTCCCTTGAATTACTGCAAAAGTTTCATTTACCTCTAAGGAAATTGCGGTTTTTCAATTCATAACGAATTAGTGTTAACGCGGGCCTTATTACATTAATTATACATCGTCTTCATTAGTGGAAAAAGTAATATTTTAAGGTAAATCTTTCATCACTTTTGTTAGCTTTCTTTTATAAAAAAGATCTTCTGTAGATTAAGAAATTAATAAATAATCTCGGAGTTTAATTGAGAGGAGAAGATATTACAGAAAGGGAAGAGAAAAGCTAAAAAGTTCGTCACCTGCGTTATAACGTCTATTTAAACCTTGTGAATGGACAGCATTTCAAATCTTGTAACCGCCCGGCGGTACTTTGCTCTCGTTAACACCTTCTTTTGAAAATTGAAGGCCGCTTGTTAATTTTTTTTGTCAACACGTAAGTTTATTTACCTTTAATTCTCATTAAGTTCTTGAACGCAACAAAGATTTACCGACCTGAGTGAATGTGAAACAACTCACACAGCGTGACATTGGATAGAAGGCGGTCCCAGATGGCAAACTCATCCACCAACAGTTTTATGTTTTTCTTCAAAGCGTGACTAGCTCCTAATATCAGCCTGGATGGCTTGTCATGTTCGACCGGCTCACCAGGCTCACTTGTGTTAACAACTTGAGCTAGAGAGCAGTTTACAAAGATTTGCAATGACTGGGTGTTGTTGTCCCATTTGAGAGCTATGTGATTCCAATCTCCGCTGTTCCATTCTTGTAGCCACTGGTATTTACGCAGGCGGGTATTAATACTAAAACCAATGTTCTTTTTCGTGCTTTTCCGCGTCCAGACCGTAAATCCTCGCGAATAGCGGTGTTCGCCCAACTGTAGTATGATCTTGTTGCCTTGAAATTCAGGGATTTTCAGCCAAAACGCGATGGTAAAACCAGAATCGCAGGTTGAAGGCTTGTTAAGACACGAGATTGGCACTACACCGAAATCCACCCAAGAATCCTTCCCAGATAGAGCAAGAGCTGAACCGACAATGCCCGAGACAGTAGCGAACCCACCGTTCACTTTTCCGTTATTAGAACCCGTGTAGTCGGTGACGGTTCGGTTTGGGACACCTTCAAAAGGCCAGTAGTTAACCGTGCTCCTGTACCATTCTGCCGCTTTGAAAGAAAACAGTGACAGTAACAGTTTAAGTGATGGGAATAAGTTCATATCTGACGCGCAGCAACCTTAAAACCGCGATTTACTAAGGTGCGATGAAATACAGCCTTCTGTGCTTTTGGTTCAACTTTTGGTTGAATATTTAACGGTGTTTCTCAATTGTCATGCAAAATAGTTTATAAAAAAACTCTGCGGAAATCGTTATAGTCGTCTCATTTAAATTGAATTTTCAATTCGTTATAATGTTTGTTTTGGCGTTCTCAGTGTGGCTGGCCAAAACACTCGCAAAGAAAAAGTAGAATTCAACTTGAAAACAATATTTCTTGTGTCATTTAAATTTCTTTTTCGTTTTTTTTGATTCTGCAGGTGTGCATATTCAAATAAGGACTTTGGATGACAACAGGTAATCGAAAAAGGACAAAGCTTCCCAATATGAACATTTCTCCCCGTCGGTAGAAAGTAAATAAATGGCAGTTATGTGAGAAAAGATAACATTCACCCTTATGGCGTTTTTTAAAAAAGCCTTCATTACATCTGCATATATCGAGCTTCCACTTCATCTAGACATGTGTTTGAAAGATAATTTCACCTGGTAAGGAATAATGAAAGCATTATAGAAAAATAATCTTTTGAAGGTATCTTTGGAGCCGTTACAAAGTGATTTATCTCCGATGTTTTGCGTTGGAACTAAATCACACAGTCACATTACAATGTTACCATGGTAACTAACCGCTAAAACTAAGTCGCATGTAGGGAGCCCCTGCTTGAAAATTCATATTTTAGTTAAATTTTTTTTACAGAACTGAATCTCTTCCCTCAGCTTATTTTGGTCCTTGTTTTGTTCTAGAAAATCATTTGTTTTTTGTTTTGACGGTCAAAATACTAAACAAACTTATTATTTTGCTATAATTTGGCTTGTGTACAATACGCCTTGTTATTAAGATTTTCTTGACCGAATTTTTGTAAGCCCAAACACGCAATTTTCAAGTACACCTGGCCAAAAGATTCAAATTTGATAAAATCCAAACCCGATGACAGGGTATAGGTAACTGAGGCAGTGAACTGGGAAAATTTTGAAGTTTCATGAGCGTGTCCCTTACAATTTATATTGCCACGACTAGACTACTGACAGTATATTATTTTCCTGACATTTGGGCGATAAGAATTTTCATCTTGATACATTTCTGAAATCTGTTTAACAAGAGGTTGCACAATGTAGCCACTAAAGAAAGGAATATAAAAATAAAATAAAACTGGAAAAAATAAAACTATTAATGCAAGTTTATAACACAGGGATCGTCTGGCTTGGTAGAATCATATTCTCAAATAAGAACTTGGGCTAAGTAAGGTTACAAACAAGGTAAGGTTTTTTCTTTCAATTCAAACTATAACTTCTTGTAAGCACGATTACAGTTGTATCGAAGTAGTATTAAATCTTTTCAAAAGGAATTGTGTTAATTAAGTTAAAACAAAAAAAGTAGTTCGCATAAGTTATATGCTACGATCTTATGAAAAATCTCTCACCCACCGAAGCAACTATCCGCTGAGGACTGCATTTGTGCAAAGGACTTTTCTGAATTTTCAAATGATTTTATAAGTTTTAATCGCAGGATCCACAATTAAATTTTCTATTCGAAAATTGGGTTCATGTACAGGTTTTTTTAAGAAAAAAAGATAAACATTTGACTTATATTCAGTTGTTCGGTTGTAGATATGTCGAGGAAATATTTAGTAAAAGATAACTGGTTTACCGAGGCCGTTTGACACCTCCTACATTCTAGAGCCACTAGTTTATGGCACCTCGAAAAACACTATTTATTGGGAAGACTGGAGAAACTAGCCCAGATAGAAGAAAAAACTGGGTCGCTTAAAATTTAGAGAAACTGAAGAAACCTGTCAAACCATTTTGTATTTTGTGTCCGTCGCATTTGCTGATTACACTAAACACATCCGTTTGAATTAGCGTCTGCAACAAATTGCAAAAAAAAAAAAACGGATAAATAGGGGCGTTTAATACACCCCTTTTTCAGCGTATTAACAATATGGGCTCTAATAAGTTCTTGATTCTCCCAAAGCGATTTTCCCCTTTTTCAAAATTTGAAAAACAATTCGTTTTTTATTCCAAAAATTAAGAGAAGTATCTCTTGTCAATCAACTCTACTGCTGATTTAAAATCGTAGCAAGGCAGTTGTCTAACGTTAATATTAGCACACACAAAAAAATTAAAGATCTGTGGTTAAATCAAGACGAAATCAGTTTCGTGTAGAATGCAATCACTCTCAAGCCTGATTACTATTTTTGATCAATTTGAAGGCCATCAGCGAACACATGGTCCATATTTAACACCTCAAATTTTGTCTGATTATTATTTTGATTCCGAGACCGTGGACGTAAAGGCTTTCATTACCAACGTATTATCAACAGCCAGTGTATTCGGTTTCGTTTATTGCCTTTTTTTTGCAACGACCAAGCTGTCGGAATAAAAACAAAAAAGCCTTAAATAGAATGCAAAAGTATTTCACTACATGCTGATTAATAGTAATTGGGCAAAGGATATAAGTAATGAACATTAGAAGCCTTTTGAAAGCTTTTAAAGTGTTAGATAATGGACGGTTGAATTCATACGGGGTGCTAAGTTTCTTATTTTAATATGGTAAATGATGAACACCACAAGAGATGATTATCAATTTTATACCTCTTTATCGCAACCATTATCAGTGAGATAGAATTGACTTTAGCTTCTTAGTGTGAACAGAATGATTGAAGATACTAGATGTGAAGATATAATCATTCAGTCCGAGGGTTCAATTTCAAGACACGAAATATTTCTAACATATAGATTATCGTGATTCTTCTTTGGAAAACGAGTGTGAACATTCAGATAAAAGCTAGTGAGCAGCTAACTTTTGAGTTTGCGGATGAAATCCTAAAGTGTAACCATTCAAATGAAAGCTACTGAGCAGTACTTTCCTGTGGTACTGTTTATTATGCTGTTCGAGGTGGTTTTAACTTTTGAGTCTGTGGATGAAATCCTAAAATGTGACCATTCGAATGAAAGCTACTGAGCAGTACTTACCTGTGGTACTGTTTCCTAATAAAATATGTTGTACAAGATGTTTCTACCACATTTTGAGTCTGTGGATCAAAGCTGCTGAGAGGTACTTTTCTCTGGTGCTGTTTATTGGACATCAAGAGGTTCTCTTGGCTACATAAAGTATTCCTGCTGTTTGAGAGTTTCAATAATAAAGACCTACGTTTTATATTGCGCTATATTTCACAACATGAAATAGCTTCATTTTCCTAGCCTTACCAGGGTAAAAGTCGTACATTAAGTTTTTTCCATCATACTCTTTCCTTCTTGATAAAAGTGATAAGTGTACAAATATTGGCTTTTGGTGTACAATCTCCGCCAAAAAGCCTTTCGTGGTAGAAGCTTATCCCGATTGGTTTAGATCTTGGTAATCTTGTCCTTTCGTAGTTTTTAAAATTCATTCGCGTGAGGATTTGCTAAACATCCACGAGAAAGGCAACCTGGTTTACAGAGACTCAGAAATCGAATCCAAAGTCATGAAATAAATATCAAAGCAGATTTAGATAGCCTTATTTTATGAACAACACAGTCAAGGCAATATCGCGTGCGACAGAAAGCCGCAATATCCTTCGTGCTGCCGATAATTACTTCATCAGAAATTCAGTTTCTTTTAAGAGTTTTTTTCTAACAAGATTGCTATGCAACGGCGGGATGTTGGGATTGGTTAGCCAGCGATGTTCCGTGATAAGTCGCACGATGTGAGGGCATTTATTGCAGTTGTATTGTAATTGGAATAAACTATAATCAGAGACCAAGAAGGGACCAAGATTTATTGAAAACACTAAACGCCAATTTGTACCAAGCGACCTCGTTTTCTATCTGCTTGTCATTACTGCTTATTAATATCTACACTCAAGAAAACCGCCTTAAGAAGCAGTTACAGGTCACTTTCATCCATAACAATGATTTTGCGCAGTGTTTGCCTGCTCATTTCCTAATTTTAAAAAAATGTCATGATCAAGTGCAGTTCGACGTGTTACGTTGTTGTACTGTGGAAGCGTAAATATTGACAATACAAATAAACTTTATTGAAAAAAAAAAGCTTTCGAGTGTTTGGTTTGCTTAAATATCGATATCGGAATCTTATAAAATTAAAAAATAAAATAAGGTGCTCACCGAACTTGGTACTAAAAGAGTTACGAAAACCCTTCATGGAGGGCAATTCTTATTATGCTTTAACATTTGTTACATTTATTTGATATATTCAGAAAGGGGTTTTATATCTTATATTTCGAATTCTCAAAAACCTACAGCTTTTAAGCCAATCAATAATTATAGTGGTCTGAATTAAATATTGGTGATAAATGAGGCGCGCTATGATCAATCAATTTGGTTAAAATCAGAAAACTGTTACTTGTTGTAAGAAATTGTACAAAAAACCCCGTAATTTTTGCCCACTCGACTGTCATCCTATTTATATTGTAACCTTACAGAACGAATGGTGACCAGTACGTTCCTTTCTAATTAAAAGTTTTCTATTATATTTTTGTTATATTTACAATGTTCTATAAAACTTCTTTACACCTAAGCTTTGCAATTTCCTCCTAGGTCAAATGCGTTGAGTTATTTGAATTCTTTCTTGTTTATCTTGTGGTAATATTAGCTTTTAAACTTAGGGTCAAACGTTTTATGCAGACTCAAAATTTAGGATCAACTGTACATCAATAAAGTGCAAACAGTACTTGCAAGTACTACCCGGCAGCTCTAATTTTGTGATCAACGTTTGGATTTCATCCACAGATAGAAGTTAGAACCACTTTGTACAGCATAATAAACAGTACCACCGGAACGTACTGGTCAGTAGCCTTCTTTTGAATAGATGATTTCATCCACTAACTCAAAATAAGCCTATTAACCACCTTGTAGCTCAGTAGCCCTGTAGGCTAGACTGTAAATAGTCTCTCTTCTGCTCAAAAATCTGTAAGCGGGAGTATTTGAGCAGCAAAGTCGCGCGAGTTGA